CTTTCAGAGTGGGACAACGGTTTGGTCAAAATTCTCCGGATCCCAATATGTCGTATACAACGTGTGCCCTGCATCACGGGCTTGGATCCATCTTCAGGCTTCAAAAAGGAAAGGAAGAAAGTAGGCTTGATAGAGACCCCATCTAACAACCTCGTTTGGCAGAAGCGAAATAATCACCGCGTTGATTGTTACATAGCCTCCTAGAGCAGCCACCGCGCCGCTGAATACTTGATAGTAGTGCTGAAGGCAAGTACGTGGCGCATTGCAAGGGGTTTCATTGGCACTGGGCATATTCGCAATGCATATAGCGCATATAGAGCGTGGCTGCGTACTTCATCAGGATGGCAACTGTCTCAAATGAAATTTCCTACGAAAAACGTATTCCACACCATGCTTGAATGAAATACGGAATCGCGCCCCTCCCATTTTTGGGAATTTACCTATATTTACTATTATTCTAGTCAGCAGTCGAGGAACCACAGCGTCTGGACATGAAGAACTTAGAGAACTTTTTCAACAAACCTTCTCCAACTCCGAATACTACCCGTACTCGCACCAGTCCTTCATGTACGGTAGTATGGTTTCTGATCATTCTAATACCACAATAACTGAATCCACAGTTTAGCAGATAAAGGGAAGAAGCAGTCGAAAAACTCTTTACTGAAGAAGCGTAGATCAGGAATCCATTTTATGAAAGCGTTGTCCAAATCAGCAGAAAAAGTGGAAAAAATTATGGAAAGATCAGACAAAGGGCGAAAACCAGAAACGAAATCTTCTTTCCCACGGCTATTTAAATGTAAGTATTCTGAAAAATGAAATAAGTGGGCATTCTATTTCTCACAGTGGAGTCGCCTTCATCAAAGGCAACATCCGCGATCATCCGCCATCAGATAGTGGATTAGGGGTTTGCATATAGACGGCAAGGTTCCGAGTAATTCCATAGTGAAGAAAAAAGAGGAGAAGTATGCAAACTGCCCTAGATATAGCGCACGTGAAACAAGAAAAGAACAACCCAAAACACTTTTCGCAACGTACGACCTCCAGTCCGATAAGGGCCCCCCTCGCTTAGGATCTACAATATGCGACTTGCCCTTCTTACCATGAAATGAAACAGTGATCAGAGTGAGCATCGTCACTTTCTCATTCAGACTAAGTCGCATCAGAACTTGCTTCGGTGAGAGGGTCCAGACGAGCAGACATGACGTGTACAGACGACATGACGACAGATGTATTACCGTGTGGAATAATTCAGACATTGACCTTGTTTGGCTTCAACACTCCTCAGCGCGACGCAGTCGCGCCCTTTTGCCCGATATAGCTCTGCGCTGCCTTTCCGTCTTTATACCCTCATGACTGATATTTCTCATACCTTTATTGTTCTTTACAGCACGAAAATCGAAAGAGCACACGACTTCAAAGGAGTGTGAGATTTCAGTGGGCTACAAGAAATGAACTGCTCGAACGAGAAATGCTTGTCAAATATCCTTGAAATAAAGCTTTTAAACGCTTTTCGAATTACCTCATATGTCTACACCTATCCGAACATTTATCTTTATCAGATTGATAGTACAGAAGTTCACCTGTACAGGGGAAGGGAAACTGTACAACTTCAGGCTCACAAGACACATTCCGCGATCACTGGATGGGCGGAGACCGGCATTCGTAGGGAGAGTGGGACTCGATCCGCCTTTTAGCGACTTTTTTCATG